TTATTAACGCACATCTTACTTCACGGAAGTATTTGAGGACATGACACACTTTGTGTCGTCTGTCAACTAAGTTGATGTCGTTGGCTTGCGTTCTTAAACTGTATAAGAGACTACTCATTATAAGAAATTACCCGTATTGTTTCTAGGCCCATTTTCTTATTTACCAAACTCTAAGAAAAGGTTTGCTCGTATAGAGGACCAGTTTATGCTGACCACTCACAGTGGACTTCAGTAAGGGACAATTCCGTCTGGACGTCCTGCACCCTTGAAGCTAGAAATAAATGACTGCGTTTATCAAGATTAACTGTGCTACAGAATATGAGGAAATAAGGACCAAGAATAAGAACAAAACCCGAGTATAGTAATTTTTCGCGGCTGTGATCTACGCAGCACAGTCTCGCAATGAGAAGTTGATCAGTGAGATAAAATCAAATTATCCTTGCGAGAAATCGACCTTTATTGTCGCAGCTCACGCAAGCACATGTGAGTGTTTATTTTCAGCAGGTGCATGTCATTTCATAAAAGATTAATGTAACACAAATTTTGGAGAAATAAGCGAGACCAAGCTCCGGAAGCACTGACATTAGTTACGGTAAATACGAAGCAAGGTGAAACTCAGTAAGGTAAACTGCAGTCATTTAACTCCATTAAACTTACCTTGCAAAAAGTAACATAAGAATTTTTCAGGTAGCAAAAGAACGGTTTTATGTAACAGTTCATTAGATTCCGCCTTGAAGATTCATCCTGTATTTCAATCTTATGCAGGTACGAATAAAAAACCCGCAAGTTTTACTGAGCATGACAGTAATTTACAGTCACCATAATGGGTAAATATGTCAATTCCAAATGCAGAACTTGCTACACGATGGAGTATTTAGTTAGGAACAACCAGTACTGAAGGCAACGTAAAGTAATAAGGCTAACGTAGGACAGCAATAGAAAATTTGGCTTAATAGGTAAAAAAAGTGGACTAATTTATCAGGATCCATGATAAGTAAAATGGTATGTTTAATATCCACAATATAGAGTGGGTTTGTGAAGACAATCTTTCCCTTACAGGGAGGCAGGGAGGCAGCATAGAACGAATTTAGTTGTGTTCTTGGCGTAACCCACGAATCAAATTATAAAAAAACTTGGGTATTGCTGATTACTCAGATAATCTGCCAAATTTTCAGTCCCAACAAAAAAATCTTACCGCAATAAATCTTTACAGGTGGATTTGGTGGCTCCGCTCTATTTTCCTGTCTTCAAATCTGTTGTAACGCAGTGCGCTTTGATTCGCTTGAACGCAGCTGTTCAAACGCTATTCATTTGTGAAACTTCGAATGGTTTCTGACGAATTTCACACTCCGGGCTGTGAGCATTCTCCTCGTGTATGCTTTAGTTTACAGTTGACCATCTGTTTTCCTTGTGACCAGTACATCAAGCAACGCTAGTCTCTCTTCCCTTCCGTTTTGATTGTAAACTGGAAGTCAGGAAACACAT